TTGGGACATCCCACGATTTTGTAGGCGACTGCATATTTACCCTAAATTCTTAACGCTTGGTAAGTTGATTCATGAAATGAAAGTGGATATGGTCACTAATTATTCCTTCATTTCAAATGAAAGTGCATGAAGAAGAGATTCGTCGGTCGATCTGACCAGATGAGGACGGATGATATTCGTTGTACTGCAGCCGTTTGGCTTTTAGACGATATTCATGTTGACGCAGTCCACGATACTTTCTGCCTCGTTTCGGGTGAAAACGTGCTGAGCTTTCGTCCGTCATATGATGGACATCATCAGAGCCGGGTGTCATTCTTGTAAAAGTACCACGTTAACACTAAAGCAAGAACACTATCTCCGGCTCTATCTTACTACTTATATAGACTGAATCGAGTCAAAAAAAATTAAAAATTAAAAACCTAGTTAGATCGATATAGAGTTAAAATGAATATCGTATAAAAGCCAAACGGCTGCAGTACAAGTTTCATGAGTTTCATCCGTCCTCATCTGGTGAGTTCGACCAACGAATCTCTTCTTCATGTACTTTCATTCAAAATACAGGTCCCCCTAACAATATTATCTCAGGAGTTTCATCGAAACCAAGTTTCTCTTCGTATCTACAAATTATTCCTTACACAAATAAACCCGAATTTTATCCTGTAATGCTGACGCAAGTTAAGGCATGTGGCATTGTTTATTGCGTGCAATTAATAGTCAAGTCATTTGAGATATCAGAATCCTAACCAGACCCGAAGCTATTCAAGCCCACTCCCTCTGCTCAACTGTTCTTCCTGCTCCCTATTTTTCTCCCAATTCTCCTTAAGCCTATCCGACATCCACAAATTGTCGCCAATGAATTTCCTACTCTCGTTCCTCCTCTTCAGGAAGTAGGCTATCTTGTTTATTTGTATAGAATTTATACTCTTATGCTGAGATTTGTTGTCACCGCTGCTTGCAAAATGCGGTATTTTTCATTATTCTTTTATTTGTCCTGCCATATGCTAAACCAGTTCGGATTTTTTACCAATAGACCTTTACGGATAATCTCTTCCGGATGAGTAGGCAGGTCTCCTCTACATAGAGCTCACCACATAAACAAAAAACTTTGTAGCACCCTGATATAGAAAGAGAATCATAAAATTCTCGAAAAGAAGTCCTGACGAAAGAAGATGCTACGTTCTCTATAAAGACTGTTTTACTGTTCCACTTCTTCATTTATTCATCTACTTTTAGCGAAATCAGACAGGATGATAACATCAGGAACCAAGTAGGGTAGCCTATCTACTTGCCCTGCACAGAATAGCTATTTCCTCACGTTCTATTTGTGAGTATTAGAAAGTAATTTTCTATTAATACTAGTGAATAATTCTTCAGAATTAATGTATCTCACAATATACTTCCACTAGACGCATGCTCCATACCACATCGATTTCATGACCCCTACTTTAACCCAATATCTATACTTTGAGAAGAATTTAAGAAGGAATAACGGATCTGTGGCTTTAGTAAGCAAATCTCCATTCAAATTATTACATTATTTTCGCCCTAGGATATCAATAAATGGTAGTTTGCCCTGCTTTTCTAACCAAATATTGCATGTATTAATCGCTTTTAATCTTTTCGTTAGCTTTATAAATTATTCAAATCTATCTTTTCCGTGCTACCAAACGGTAAATTGGACGTCTACCTACGTAAGGAATAACTTTTGAATTAGGAGCGACCCTTAAATTAATCAAACTTTAAATCAAACCATTTATTTACTCAGTAAATTAGGAGCTAAACACAATCCCATAGTCAAACCTTGCGTTTGT